TCAGCTGTCTGAATCAGCTAAGGTGACTGGAAAGCAAACCCAGGGGTCCTCTTGTCTCTGCCTCCCAAGCACGGGGCTTGCAGATGTGCATGGGAGCTGGAGATTAAACTCGAGTCCTCAAGCTTCCATGGCAAGCATTTTTCAACTGAGCCATTTTCCCAGCTTGAAGTTACATTTTTTAATAGGGATCCACCTGCAAAGAATGTCTAGATTTGGTGTGGCCAAGCGACATGAAAGAATCCAAGACTTTAGGATGCAATACACATCCTTATCGTGGCTCTCCTGCTCAATCCCAGTTTGACCCTGAATTCCTCATTTACACCTTCCTTGCCCATGCTCCCCCTCATCGGGGCTGTTAATGTCAGCTTTGTTGTTGTTGTTGTTGAAAGATCATGGTGAGCATTAAAAGTGTTTTGTGTGTAGGCCCTCAAGACATGTCTGCTGTTATCCATACTCTCTTGGCTTTACCATCATTGTTGATTTTCTCTGACCACCATTTAGAAGCCCAACACAGAGGGACATCATCAAATTTAGAGCTTCGCAGGGGAGGAGATTCCTCACTCAGCACTCTCTGCACATTGGTGACCACTGCTTCCCCTAGGGATCAAGGTAAGAAGTTAACAGGGAGAATGGCTGCTATGCGGACTGACGACAGACTATGTGGACTGACAGACACGCCTCTTCATCTCACAGCCCGGCACAGCTGACATGGAATCAGGGGCTCCCACAATGAGACCCTTTCCCTGTCAGACCCTCTCCGGTGCCTGTGATTGTCTCAACACATACACGGACCCTGCTGGGATCCATGCAGAGCATCTGGACCTAAGGCCTCATTTCTGACACGGCCACTGTTATTGGTTGTACAGACTTCCAGGGGAGTATACTATTTGCAGAGAGGCCTCAAAGGTGAGCTCCATGGTGGTCCTGACAGGTGGTCCTGCTGTAGAGTCCCTGGGGAGTTGGATGAGGGTAGAGCCCCATCAGCCATGCATTGCCCTAAGAAAGGAAGACACGTGCAGAATCTTCTAACCCCCCATCTGGATAAACGGTATGCCTGAGAGAATCTGGTCTGCATCCTCACCAGGAAGTCAGCCTTCCCGCTGAAAATGGCCACTCAACCCTAAGAGACACTTGCTACTATCCCCAGAATACCTATATCTAAGGGAAAGTGACCATTTTATCCCCTTTTAAAAGCATTTGTTTCTGTTTTTGTTAATTTTCTGCATTCACTTTTAATATTTCAATAAAATATTATTTCTATTTCAATTTCAATGAAATTTCTATTTCAATGAACTAGAAAAAGAATGAGAGCGTATATGGTCTATTATTACAATTAATAATATTTATGCATGCTTTATATTATTATAAGCATATATATACACATATGTATGATATATAGGGATGTTTGTACATTATATAAGCATATAACTGTATTTAGGGATGTACATGTGTTTTTTTCATTAAAATATTAAATATATTAACTGCTTTACGGTTTTCACTTTTTACTTAATTACATACTATGAGAATATCATTAAGTATTTGTCCACTATCTGATATCTAATTACTTCATTCCAGCATTTACTTAATTAACCACTTGCAGAGCATTCCAGTTCTTTCTAGTTTTCCGTTCATTTGAATACAGTTACAGGTACATCTTTGTCCTCATTTCTGGTCATTTCCTTGGAAAACTGCCATAAATAAAGCTAATTTTAGAAAAGTTAGCACTGATGGTTTTAGACTTTGTGCCTAATTATCTTCCAGAAATGAAGGACCTGTCTATATACTGCATACACCTGTGTGTACATGTGTGTGTTCTTCATACACCTGTGTGTACATGTGTGTGTCCTGCATATACCTGTGTGTACATGTGTGTGTCCTGCATATACCTGTGTGTACATGTGTGTGTCCTGTTGTTTCTCTTTCCCTGTGCTTACTATGTTCAACAACTTCCAACCACACAATGTTACACTCATGCCTGGAACTTCACTGGTCAACACAGGCCTTTGGCAGAAAGCCCAGTATTTAAGCCCTCCTTCCTAATATTCCCTAAAATATGGAGAAGGGAGCCAATATCCAAGGAGCCTTCCTTGAAGGGGTAGTTGTTGTATCTATCTACTCACTGCATTAAGTTTAAAGCCTCCCGGGGTAGAGATAGATTAGCAGAAAGCTGAGGACCCCTGCTCGAGCTGTGCCCCCTGTTTCCTTCCCCCTCCTAAGCCTGTTTTCACACAGAGTATTATTATGATGGGAAGCAGACCCACAGAAGCCACTTGTGTACCCTCAATAGGACTGTGGTGAGGGACGCCGTTCATTACATCACACAGTCTCAGCTTTATGAGGGCCCCCGGGAGCTATTTCTGTCTGGCCTCTGTGTGAACAACAGTTAGAATTTTCCTGAGCAATTGGTTTGTGTTTATCTCGCAGACAATGTAAACTGTATGTCTGACAAGCTTTCTTTATCCCACTGGAGGCTGTGGTGCTCGGGCGTCCCACTCGCGACCCCAGAGCCAGCAGCGGGAATGCGCAACCGAGAGCCAGCAGAGGGAATGCGCAAACACAGTCATAGCCTGAGAAGTAGCTCTCATGCGTTCTTCCTGCCTCGTGGTGCCGTGCTTTTAGGTTACACGATCTTGTCTTGCTTTGTATCCTATTGGAAGTCACGTGAAAAACGTTGAGAAGTCAATAAATAAATAAGATGTGAAAGAGCTCCACAATGTGTATTTTTGTCTGTTTTCCTGAACACTTCTGCTGTGCTCTGCGTTAATATCCTTCTGTTTACAGACCTGAGGCTTCGTGCACACAAGTCAGAACTGCAGCGATACTGACCTTACAATAATTGGAATACCCAAATAAAGTTTCTGAAGGTACCATGATTGCCCTTACCTCATTCTCATGACCCAGTGGGATCAATGCCATTGAAATGACAGTGCTTCTCCAGAGCAAAATGTGCTTTAACTCTAATTATGATGGAAAAAGTCAATAGTGCTACTTCATATGGAGTGACACAGAAGGAGGACAGAAGTGCCAAGGGGAAATTGTTAGTGCCTAAGATGGGCTTTGTTGCCCAGGGAGCTTTCAACTGCAGGGGAAAAAAGGTTCAAATGTAAGAAGAGAGGCAACAGGATAAACTGCCATTAAAATGTATAGAATCTGCCTGGGCCGATGAGCACATGAAGACTCATTGAACATCCTTGGCCACTGGGGAGACGAACTTTCCAATACACCGAGGTACAAACAAACACCTGCTTGAATTGAAAAGACCGACGACAGCGGGTGTTGGTGAGGATGGGAGACAAGTGACTTTGCGCAGAGTTCTAGGGGAGACGCCATGTTTGAAAATAGCTCCTGGTTCTTCTGAAAGTTAAACTCACACCTACATAAGACCTGGTCATTTCACTACTAGACATTTGCCAAAGAGAAATGAAAGTAGATATAGATATATCATATTAATGTTTGTAGTAGATTCTTCTTAGCAAACAATAGTGGGAGCAGGGGCTGTCTCTGACTCTGTTGCCTGCTTTTGGTACCCTTTCCTCCTACTGCATTACCTTGTCCAGCCTTAATAAGAGAGTGGTTGCCTAGCCTCACTGCGACTTGATATACCTGCCGGGAGCTTGGCTCCTAACATGTGCATTCTCCAGGCTAGCCGGCTCATAAGCCTTCAAGGGATGTTCCTGTCTCCACCTTCCATCTCACCGCAGGCACACTGGGATTAGATACCATGCTACCACATAGGAATATTCATGCATTCTGGGAATCTGAACTCCAGTCTTCACGCTTGCACAGCACGGCCTCATCCGCTGACCCATTCCCCCAAACCCAACGTTGATACAAACTTGGAGAACATGTAAACTAATACATAGTTTGAGAAAACACACCATTGGTTCTTTATTCCACACTGGAGCGGGGAGAGATTAAAAATGGAGACAAGGACACTTTGGAAGGTGGCACCAAGCTTCATTAACTTGATTATGAAACTATTCACACACAAATATATTGAATTTGTCAAGTTGTATGCCTTGAGCATTACATCTCAATTATCTCCAGTAAAGGTCTTTGAAAATATTTCATATTAAATGGAAGTTGGGTATGGTGGCTCACACCTGTAATGCTAGCACTTGAAGGGCTGAATCAGAAAGATAAAAAGTTTTGGGCCAGCCTGGGTTACATAGCAAGACATTGCCAAAAAGAAATGTGTGTTTATGTGGGGGGCGAGGAAGAGAGAGAGAGAGAGGGAGGGGGGGAGGGAGAGAGACAGCGACAGAGACAGACAGACAGAGAGAGAATAAAGATGACCTCATGGATACTACAGGGAGAAGCTTATTTGCTCTACGTTCTATGCTGCCTCAGACCTTTGTCCTGTGTTCGCAGTGACAGGAGCATGACAGTGACATCACCATGAGTGTTCTCATTCTCTGTCCCATCCTCTGGCTTTGTACTCTACCCAGATGCTCTCTCATCTCGCTAGGGAAGTAGGATCGATGAACAGAAAGGAAAGACAAGTGGATGCATGCTTAAAGCACTGTCCTGATGGACTCCACTCAGTGATGGGCTCATTTAGCCAGAGAACAGTCTGCTCAGCCCAGGAACAGTTTTCTAAGAAAACAGTAACTGTTTCATGAAGATACCCAAGTACCTTTTTGTCAAGGACGTCAGAAACCTAGACCCTAAAATATTCAGTTCGTCTTAGCCTTTGTAAGTGTAGCTTTAATAACAAAGTTTGACAGAGAGTACTTTGTGATAGTTATGGGGGGATCATATTCACAAATTCTAGACCTAGAATTTTGACATTGTCATCAGCTTCTCCATCTATAAAATATCAATCTAGTGGAACAGTAGATAAGTTTTCACAAAAGCACAGGCGGAGAGCAATATCCAAGAAGCAGGAATCTTTTAAAATGATACCCCTCCCCCATACCTCCCCACCCCTCTTTGAAGAATATACTTTCTTTCTTGCAAGGGGAGGGAACAGTGTGAATAAGATTCTCTCTCACTCTTACCTGAAGCCAAAGCTTGTCGTGCTGAGACCACTTCCCACCAGCAATGCACTGAAACGTGGCATTCTGCCCAACATTCACCTCAACGTTCTGGAGTCGCAGAAAATGAGGTGCTTTTCCTAAGAGAGAAAACCAAAGAACACATGAGGAGAGGATGCAGCTTCCCACACCACTTCTCCATCAGGGACAGCAGTCCAGGATAGGCTGTGTTCCTGAGAAGATGCCAGGCTCAGATAAGAGTTGATGAACCACTACAGAGTGAGACCTATTCTGTGAATTCCACATATTGTTCATTTATTAAACTTCATGGTCTATGGAGTAGACAGGAGAGTGTCTTCAGTTCACAGATCACAAATCTAAGACTCTGAGCATTGCGTAGTTTGGCACAGTTGGGCATCCAGAAAACAGGGGAGCCAAGATGTGAATCCTGTCCTATGAGACCCTCAAAGTTCCTATGACAACTTGGTCCACACATGTCTAGAATGGTCCAAAGTGAATGTTGCCCCTGGGAATGACAATTGGTTAAAGGCAGAATCATAGAACCCACAGCTCCTCCCTTGACTCTGGTGAAGATGCTAATGATGGCAATGGATAAGGACAAAGAACACAGTAGGAAGAAAACAGAAAGAAACTATAAGAGCTTTTGTTTACTGAATATTTCCATGGGATAGGTGCCATGCTCAGCATCCAGAATTTACTCAATACTGTGCAACTGCCCCTGTGAATTCCAGAAATTCACCCATGTTCACAAAGGTACATAGTTTACATTCTCAGCTTTACACTGTGGCACCTCTTAAGCACGGGTAGGATGTAGAACACGGATTCTGGGGGTTTAGCACAACATGATTTTCAAACAAAAATCAGCATGTGAGATAATCAGCCCTGGGATCAGCCTGGATTTCATGTTGGATAGCTTGTGTTCATCTCTTCCCTTGTTTGTGAAGTCAAATGTTCTTCTATATAAGTTCCCCATAAAACAGTAATATCTGGTTTTCATTAGCTGATCTCTAATGACAAGAGGAATGAGCTTTGTCATTGAATCCATTGAAGATTCTCTATGATCATCAATAAAATCAGTGAGAAGCTGGGCTCAGACACCTTATCCCAGGTAGGGTTAAATGGAGGGGCCTTATAATAACAAGGACATCAAAAAAATAGGAAGAATAACACCTACTAAACACCAGTGCTAAGTAGGAGTCTTAGTTGAGGTTTCTGTTGCCTTGGTAAAATAATACAAACAGCTTGGGGAGTGGAGGGCTTAATTAATCTCACAGTTTGTAGTTCATCATCCCGGAAAGTCAGGACAGGAACTCGGGATAGATACATGGTGGTAGAAATACAGCAGTGACGATGGAGGAAGACTGCTTACTGGATTGCTCTCTGTGACTTGCTCAGTCTGTTTTCTTATACCATGCAGGATGACATCCCTAGGAGTGGCACCACCAGTAATGGGATAGGCCTTTCTACATCAATAATGAACCAAGAAAACTCTCCTACCATGCCCCACGGGTTATTTCAGAGGCCAATCTAGCGGGAGCATTTTCTCAATTGAGATTCCTTCTTTTTAAAATGACTGTATCTTGTGTCAAGTTGTCATCAAAACAGCCAGCAAAACACTTTGCATCTTTTATCTATTCTAATTTCATGGTATTCCTGTGAAGCATATGGTAAAGAGTAGGAATTAGCATCAGCAAGCTCGCCATTGTTGTGACAGCTAACTTTAATTGTCAACTCGATGTAACCCAGGGTCACCTGGAAAGTGGATCTCAAAGAGGAAGGACACCCTACATCGGGTTAATCTCTAGCCATGTCTATGGGGATTATCTTTTTCTAAAGTAATATTTTTGTTAATTTTAGGATAATTTCGTACAACATACTTTGATCATATTCACTACCAACTCCTCCACGCTCTTCACTCTGCCCTCCCTCTGCTGATCCTACCCCTGTATACTAAGTGCAGTTGAATTTGCCCATCTTTATGGAATAAAGTCTTCCCTAGAATATAGTCCACCTACATGGTCACAGCATTAAACAAACCTGACCCTCCCTCTTCCCACATCTATCAAATGCCAATAGTTCCTAAGCTAGTGGTAGGATTTCATACCACCCCGTCTTTATCCTGACATTTTATTTGACTTGAGCTCACACAGATCTTGGGCCTGCTGCTGCTATTAGTAAGAATTCATAAGCGAAATGCCCCTGCTGTGTCTAGGAAACAGTGTTTCCTTGATGTTCTCCATGGTGTCTGGCTCTTACAGTCTTTTCATCCCCTCTTCCACAATGATGCCTGAGCCTTGTGAAAAGGGCGTGATGGTATGCATTTTCCATTTAGGGCAGGGCACTCCAGCATCTCTTATTTTCTGTACGTTGGCCAGTTGAGAGTCTTTGTGTTCATTGCTGTCTGATGCAAGGAGAAACTTCTCTGATAGTGTTTGAGATGCACTGGTCTATAGCAATAAGTCAATAGTAGTTATTTTAATACTGTATATTCATTTAGCAGAATAGTGCTACTAGGTCCTCCTCTAGGTCCCATGACCTATCTAGTCACAGTTCTTGTCCCTATTAATGATGTCAGGTATGGGTTCCATCAAACAGTACTATCAGAAGGTGATTGGGTGCTCTCATGACAAGTGCACCACAACTGTACCAAAGACATATCTTCTCTTGTCACTAGCTGTTATAGCATTCAGGGTCTGAAGCTGTGCAAAACTGATAGCTACTTTTAAATTTTTTTCTGTTTTTATTACATTGTTTTATTTTAATTAATTTTTCCTCCTGTGTCCACATAGCACTCTCTAGCACTATAAAATGTAGTCAGTATGGTGTAGGAGGTCCTTCTGTATTTCTGTTGCTTTCATTGGTTAAATAAAGAAGCTGCCTTGGCCTTTTGATAGGGCAAAATTTAGATAGGTGGGGAGACAGAACTGAATGCTGGGAGGAAGGAAGCAGGGTAAGAGAGAGCTGCCATGGAGCCAGCCGCCAGGTCAGACATGCTGAATCTTTCCTGGTAAGCCACAACATTGTGGTGAAATAGTGAAATACAGATTAATAGAAATGGGTTAATCAAGATGTGAGAGTTAGCCAATAAGAGGCTAGAAATAATGAGTCAGTATTTAAATGAATACAGTTTCCGTGTAATTATTCCAGGTGTAAGCTAGTCGGGTGGGATGGAACAAGAAAGGGGCCCATGCTCAATACTACATCAGTAGAGATAAAGCTTCTAGGTCAATATCAGCTTCATTTTTAAGTATGTAGAGTCTTAAAAATATATAATTTTATCATTAAGTTCTGGAGGGTAAACAACAGTACTGACAACAGCTTATAATGCTTAGTGGGGTCTATGGGACCCTGTTGGCCAACAACTCAAAAAGAGGTAGCCTTTTTCTGTTATTGGGAATTTTATTTACTAACATGTGGTCTCTAGCTGGGGTATTATCCTCTTCTTGCAGGACAACTCTTAAAATTCTTCTTTTTTATGCTTCAGTACATATTTCAGAAAGCTCCTATAGTAGTAGATTTCCATAGGACTTTCTCGAAAGGCCTTCACTGTTAAGTTTTTCCTCCCTATATTCTCTCCTCGATATTGTCCTGTTGTATAATATTTTTTTATATACTTTAAAGATGTGTCTTTACCAAGGCACCTTCTGATTGGTTTAATAAAGAGTTAATGACCAATAGCTAGGCAGGAGATATGGGTGAGACTTCCAGGCACAGAGAGGATTCTGGGAAGAAGAGAGGCAGAGAAGTCAGCCAGATGCTGAACAAGTTGGACACACAGAATAGGAGGATAGAGATAAAAGCCACATGGTAGAACGTAGATTAATTTTAAAAAATATGGGCTAAGTTATAAGAGCTAGTGGGACAAGCCATAGATAAAGTTGACCTTTCATAAGTAATAAGTCTCTGCATCATTATTTATGAGCTGGTGACCCAAACAAAAATCAGACTACACTGTCCTCCCATGTGCCACCCAAATTTGCCCCTTCCGGTTCCATTACTCCTTTTTAATCCTCCAGAGTACTGTGGTCTATCTCTCCTCCCTTGAAAGCTCCCTTCCTCCTGTGGCTCCTTACTAATTTCCTAATCTCTGTGGGTATTCCAAAAAAAACATACACACATACCCACACTCATAATCTGACTCAAAGGTAGTATCTACAAAGGAGAGAAAATACATGATGTTTGTCTTTCTGGAACTGGGTTATCTCACTCAGAATCATTGTTTCTAGCTTCATCCATTTACCCGAGAATTTCATAATTTCATTTTTAACAGCTTAATGGTTCACAAGTTCATTTTTCTTAATAGTTTAATATTCCATTGTGCAAATGTGCCACATGTACAGTATCAATTTATCAGTTGATGGATACCTAAGGCCCTTTCCATTTACCAGTTATTGTACATAGAGCAGCAATGAGCATGAAGGAGCAACTCCCTCTATCCTCTACGCTGAGGTACAGAATCCTTTGAGTATATTCTCAAGAGTGGCTTAGCTGGATGCTGTGGTAGATCTATTTCCATCTCCTGAGTCTGGATTTTCCTCCACAATGCCTTTCATAGTGGTTGTTCTAGTTTGCATTCCCATCAGCAGAAAATAAGTGTTCCCTTTCTGGTAGGGGAATGAAGCTAATTGATACTGGAAGATACAGCACAGCATGGGTAGGGTGCCATTTCCTAGGCGGGGGACCCTAAATTTTGTCACTGGAGAAATTGAGCTGAGAATAAATAAGTAAGCAAGCAAGAACGTGTGCATGCATTTCCTTCTACTCTTGACTGTGAATGTATCCGCTTCAAGTTCTGCTTGCTTTGTGTTCCCGACTATGATAGAGTGTAACCTAGTATTTTAAGTCAAATAAATCCTTTTCTCCTAAGTTGTTTTTTTTTTAATCAGGTATTTTATCATACAACAGGGATGAAACTAGAACAGTTACCAAAGCTACAGAGCTTCACAGAAAGACACAAAGAATTCAGCCTAGCCCCATCTGAGTCCCAAACTCCATTTTGAAGTAGTCACTCTCTTGCCTTCTTGACCTTGAAAGGGAAGATGATGTCATTGGACAGGCCTGGGAGTGCAGAGAAAGGACCCTTGGGGCGGACTGTGATGACTTTGCTGGATTCTCTTTT